GAAGACAATTAAGGTATTGATCCAAAATACTGCCACTATTAGGAAGGAACCTATAGACAAGGGCTGCGCTAATAAAACCACATAGATCCATCAATTGCTGTCAGTAATTTTGGCCTGGGGCTGGAGCTGGTGTTTGCTATTATTTAAGCTGACGTGATTTTAGCCAGTGCTAATTGTGTGTCGCTGAGGCTGTGCATCCACATGCAGGATGCAGGCTCCAGAGCTGTTCTTGGAGTCTTTCCCTAGGAGAAATTGGTGCAGTTTGGGATCCGTTTGTTGGCTCTGGATTTGTGCGAGGATATCTGAGATCACCAGGACTAAGCCTATAACRGGGTGCATGTGCACAGACAAGCTGCTAAAATATTGACATACCAGCCCCAACAAGAATGGATCCATACAATGGTCACTCACTTCACTTGGATCTTCCCAACATCTCTCAGATTCCAAATGGCTCTGTCTGGACAGCAGCAGTGTCTGACGAGCTCTAAATCTTATTTAACCCTTTCAAATGGAGCTATTGTTGCACCGAAGAACAGACCAGAGAGGCAACAGGTATCCAGAGCCTTTATGTGGATTCTAGGTGGCATTGCTGCAAAAAAAACGGGTGAAGAGCCACCTCTGCTAGGGAAAAATACAGGTCATGGTTGTGGAGAAATGGCAGGTTTAAGGCATTTGGACATCCTGAGAGTTTCACAATTATTATAACTGGTCCTAAATCTCCCTGTCTTTAAATCTTGGGGGTTGGAGAAGGGCAAGAGCAAACGGGGTGCACAATCCTGGGCCAAACTGAAACTTATTTGAATTACTAGTAACCAGACCTATGTAAAAGCATAGCCCATGTTCCAGAGAACAGTCAGGGGCAGGAAATCACTAATATTTGGTTCATAATGTATATGTTCTGTATTTAATATATATTTTGATAGTTATAAGAGCTAGGATGTCTGTTACTGAACAGATCCTTTTGATAGGAAACCCTAGTGCGAGGCTCTGTTCCAAACAGGGTTAAAAGGGATTTCTTTTAAGAGTAACCTGGGTTTCCTCTGGAGTGGAAACTCTGATGTTCAACCAGCTCTGATGAATATGTTCTTGGAAGTTCAACACAGCAGGTTGCATTTTTTTTCAGTGTTCACATGGGTATAATACATAGTATTGCAAAGTAAATCCCTTGACTGCTCAGACTAATGTGCTCCAATTTCTTCAGCGTTTGGCCTACTATTTCAGAAAGAAAAATGTCACTGCTGACCTAAATAAGATTTGCTTCTAAGAGGCTCTGGGGTAAAACCAGCCTGCATTGAAATCCAGCGGCAGTTCTTGTTGGGATTACAGTGGAGCCAGCTCCAAGCTTTCAGGGCGGTGTGTGCCCACGATGGATCATAGGCTTCTGGAAGAGTGCAGTCAGTAATGATGGGAGAGCTTCAGCAGGCCTGTTTTTAATGAGCCCCTCCRAATTTGGATGTGCCGTGGGATGTCTTGTCCCTGGGCTGGGATAATGGTGAGAACAAGGCTTGTTCCAAGGCTTTCTGAGCTGGAACCATCTAGGAAGGGAGGCTKTGTTGCAGCTTCTCTGGTTGAGGCCAGGACCCCAAAGTGTGGAAGGTGGAGAAGAGAGAGATGGAATTGGTCTTAAAATTAAAAAAGAGGGGAATTTGAAAATTCAGGTTTGCATCTGTGCGCCTCAGCTTTTGCCTTGAGCTGTGGCACTGTTGCCTCTTCTGCAGCTTCGGGGAACAAGATCCCCCAAAATCCCCGTGCAAAGTGCCACACTGAGTGGAAAGGCACAAAGCAGGGGTGCAAAGTAAGAATGAGGCTGGTTTAGGAGGGAGCTTTGCTCCAGATGTGGCAGAAAGGGGCCAGGCACCCACAGCTGCRCTAATCCTGATGCATTTCCGTGGCTGGAATAAGCATCGCTCCTAAACGTGCTGCGYTTCCCGCCCCTTCTCCTGTGAGAAACAGTTCGACTGTTCGGAAGCAGAGATATTAATAAAAACTATTAAGTCCTGCCACTCGCTTTGCAGAGCAGGAAGCAGTGAAGATAGACAGGTGTGGAGAGGGCAAAGCCTCAATGCAATATTTCATTAAGCCTTTTGCCCTCAGTCTATTGAATATGTATGAGGCCGCTTTTGCTGTCCTAGCAATGCTCCTTTAGACCACAGGGACAATGTAAAGGAGCCTTAAACTGGGTAGAAAAGCATCCCTGCCAATGCTGCTTGTGTAGGAGGTTTTTTGGCTATTATAACGCTAGTGAAAGGCATGGAGACCAAGCAGGGCATCTCTAGAACTGCTGTGTGGCTTTGGGGCTAYGGCCAGCGGGAGTGGAGCAATATCTTGTCTCACTTGAGGGCRGTTTGATGTTGCATCTCCTCCTTGTCTTGCTTTTACTCGAAAAAAGGGTAGTTTGGCCAAGAATTGGGGCTGTTCTGCATGGGCATGTGTTTGCACTCAGTGTGGTGTGCACAGCAAGGGCAGGCACAGCCTTTGCAGGTCTCCCACCCTATTTTCTGGGGTCACAAAATGATTTTGTCACATTTGACCCACTTTTGTGATGTGTTTGGAGAGGAGGCACCTTGCCACACTTATCTGTGAAATGCTTTTTTCCTGGTGCTGCCACTATAATGCTCTATAGATCTTTCTTAGTAGTCCTACAGAAATGATAATGCAGGCTGTGAGAGGAAGCAGAAGAATTTGAGGGCCAACAAAGATAAATTCAAATCAAATTATGCTCAGCTGGCTGTCCTGCTGCGACATGGACAATTTCTCCCTGAGCYCTGCCTTGCAGGTTATCTGAACCAAACAAAGTCGCCCAGGGCTTGTAACTCCACTAGAAAGGTCCTGTGACCCCATTTTGGGTTAAGAACCCTAGCTGGAGAAATGCTGAGGTCTTAAAAATGATAATAAACRTTGCTAGGAGGAGAGTTTTCTGTAAGGTTACATAAATGCAAAGTTTTGATGAGTGAAGGCAACTGCCTCCCTAGCTTGTTGCAGCTCCATTGCACTTTGCCATGGTGATCTTCCAGCAGTCCTTAGGATCTGGGTACCCAAAGCGGTTTCCTTTAGGTGCGCTTTGGTCTCTGGATTTCTGGATGTGACATTCCAGACTCTCCATTTTGGGGGACATTTGGACACCTACCACCCAGTGTCCTCCATGGCAATCAAGGCTAAACCATGTTTTGCAGGGCTCCATCTCCACCGAGCTTGAACTTAGCCCAGGGGCTTTGACCACGGCTGCTCCTCACCTTCCCCTTCCACTCTGCTCTTGGGTTAATTCTTTATTTTCCCCCCTTCTTTCTCTCCACCAAATTATCTTGTTGCCGCGCTGCCCGCGCTTGTTAAAGGTCACAAAGTAAACACCGTGCCAATGTCTTGCGTATCAAAGCTGCTTCCTACATTAGCTTTTTCTGTGTTTTCAGACCATTAAAACTGCCTGGCTCTTTACAAGCAAGGAATCATTTATGCAGCAATCTCGCCACACAAGACACTTTATCTCTCCCAACAACTCGCTTCCCTTTGGTAGCTGCTCTGGAGATGAGCTCTGCTCCAAGTGGTTTTCCCCCTTTCTCCTTCTCTGGCAGCTCTAGCAGAGAACACTGGAAGGCAAATGCTTAAGTGTTTTATAAGGGAAGACGGGGAAATAGTAAAATGAACCTTATTTGCTCTGCAATGGGTCTCCCAATCCCCCTGCAAGCAGTTGCTGTTTGTCAGTGGGCCTGGCATTGGAAAATTGTCTTATGAASTGTTTTAAAAGGGTGAAAGATCATAAAAAGGATTTAGCACTACAGCAGGAGACAGCGTTGTTTAAACTGTGCCATTAGTCTCCTTGTAGCTCTTTTTTATAGTGCTTTCACCCTCGTCCTATTGCTCTTGTCTCTTGGCTTTTTTTTCCTCCTTTTTTTCATATTCAAGTTTTCAGAGTCTCATAAAAGGCATTGGTTGTGGTGGGAGATGGGTCTCCAGCCTGGGTTTTGGACTGTATTTCTTTGAGTCTGGAATCTCCAAGCTCCTTTGGACTTGGAGGTGGTGACATGGGAGAGGGGCCCTGCACAAAGCTCCCATCTTACCTGAGCTGCACCTGAGCAGCAGGGAAATATGTTTTCCATGGCAAGAATAGCACGACAGGGAGCACAGAGCAGCTAGAGGGGATTTAAATACATGAAAATAAAAATAACTCCAGCTTGCAGCYGACTTGGGTGTCTTGTGGGCAGGGAACCTGTGCACAGGGCAATGATGGGGCTGCCGAAAGAGGGAAGAGGAGCCTCTTGGCAAAGTCATTTCCCAGCCGTGTCGTGTCCTTCAGGAGCAGCTCCTATAGCTACAGCAAGGCAATCAGAGCACTACTGCATGAGGAGGAGGAAGAGCTGCCCAGGTAGTGCCTGGCCTTTCACAGGCTGCAAAGCTTTGGACAAATTGCRAAGGGAAGAACAATGGGATGAAAATAGGAGCAAGTCCAATATGGGCTTACAAAGGCCCATTGAACCTGCTCGTCTTGATATATTTTGGTAGGGAAGCTGGTTTTCTCCACAAAAGAAAAATGCATTTCTTCTTCAGCTGGCTTTTGGTTAAGTAACTGCTTCAGGGGTATCTCAGTGGATGAAGAGATATGAATCATCCGTGCTAAAATATAATGCTGCTGCATGAACAAATATTAATAGGTAATAAAATAAATTCTGTCAGGAAAGCGGGTTTCAGGCAGACAAAACAGAGCCTTTTTTTCCCGGGTGGATTAGCAGCCTGTTGGTGGGACTGATGCTGGAGCAGTGACCAGGGAGGTCCTGTGGCTGCTCCGGGTCCCGCTCCAGCCTCCTTGTCCCGCGCTGAGCGGGCAGTGGCCCTGGAAGGACAACGACCCTCCTGCTATGCAGGGCGATGATGCAAACCCAGCAAGCGTGGGGAGGAAGGGGGGTTGTCTGCCATAAACAACTCGAATCTCCCTTTTGACCTCTTTTTTCTTTATTTTTTTTTTTCAGGAAGATGATTACATTAGAGTGTAACGTGGGAGGAAAATCAGCATTGGTTTGCATGAGCAGAAGTGACTGGTTGGAATTAAGATTGGGAACAACTGCATGGGCAAACAGCATGTCCTGGCCGTGAGTGGAAGGGATGTGATCTCTTCACCTGGGGCTGTGCAACRCACACAGGGAAGCTCCTTTTTTTTCCTTTTTTCCCCTCTTGCTGCTGCCCTAGTTTTTTTCCTCTCATCGCAATGAATTATTCTCTCAACAAAAGCAAGGAAAGACCTGGGTCCTGCCTGACCTGATCCGTGGGATTTTGCAGAGCTCCTSGAAGAACAAACTGCCAGCAGAGGGCACACAATATATTAATATGTAGATCTCAAATAGGCCTTAATAGTAGCCCGCTGGTAGCGGCTTGCCAGGCTCCACTGACCCCTGTTCCCAAAGGGGAGCCCAAGGCAGGAGTTGAGCGACTTGCCCAAGACACAAGTGTATTGGAAGCAGAAAGTGTCCTGCATGGACATGCAAGCTTGAGARATTCACCTATTTCTCTGAAGCAAGCTAAAATGCTGTCCATCTGACTCTATTTTTGGTGCTTAGGGTTTTATTTTGGTATTCTTTCCCCCTTTTGTTGCACAGAAGGGGACTGATGACCCATGGCAAGTCTTAATTTGACCCAATTAAAGTCTTAATTTCCAAAACAAAAGAGTTTTTTGGGGCATGATTGCGGTATGGCCCCAGATCTGTCAGCCAGGTGCATCTGTCTGCTGCTACCTTCAGAGCTTCCCAAGTGGCTCTGACCAAAAATCTTAGGGCTTTTCACCCTCAGGGAGTGGAAACTTCTTCCAACTCCTTCCAGATCTTAAGACTTGATGTTTGGAAGTCCTAAACCTGCAAATGYTATTTAAAAAAGAAAATGCTTAGCACGTTGGAGCCCATTGGCATGAGCCACTGAAGAACCCATCTTGTTTTCTTGCTCTCCTCTTTGCTCTTCCCTTGCAGCAAAGCCCTGGAGACGCTATTAGGAGCAGCGAGCTCTTTGCGGAGCCYGGCGAGCGGCTGCTGAGGAGCAGCATGGTCCATGGACCTTCACTTTGCAAAAAAGAGGTGGGTTTTGGTTCCTGTGCTGCCAGCCACAGGTGAGGCTGCTGCCCAGGAGCTTGTGTCCTGCCAACCCTGCCACATGTCTCTTGTTCTTYGGTGGCCCGTAATCCCAGGAGCAGGTAATCCAGCCTTTGACTTTCCCCAGGGCTGCGTGTGCTTTCAAAACAGCAATGAAAGAGGAGGAGGAAATAATGATGCTTGCAGCAATACCACATGGAGCCTCCAGCTGCAAAAGTAATGCAGCTGAGGTGATGGTGGGCTCTGCAACCCTGTACCCCTCCCCAGTGCTTTATAGGGCAGGTCGAGTGCCATGGAGTGACTGTGCTGGTCCAGCACTGCCTTGCCTGGCATCTCTCAGAGCAGTAATGAGCCCCTGTTATTAGTGCTCTTCTGGGTATTTATCTGGGTAGAATTTTTGAGCAGGGTCTGGTTTTTCCCTTTTGTCAGTGCAAGCCCCCTCCCAGGTCCTCTGCATTATTTAAAAAAAAAAAAAAGCCCATCCCATTAAATAGTTTTTAAAAATAACCCTGAAAATGGCACCTCATCCCCAAAAAGAAAGGCTGGGGAAGTCCGTTGGGAGGTCCTTATGCTTGTCACCTGAAAATAATAATTCTAATTAGCTTCCACTCCTGCTCTTGGGTCCAGCCTCATAAATCCTCATGACCAGGAGCTGATTGAAATATATCCCTTTGAGTTATTTAAAACAATAAGCGTGCTTCAATGCAAGGGAGCAGTTAACCGTGTTAGAGGGTCACTGGCAGCTCCCTTTGGAGTGAAGTAGAAGCAAGGTCGGGAAGTGGGAGGTCTGGTGTTTGCCCCCAAGCCTTGGAGGATGGTGCAGGGCTGCCTTACAGCCCAGCGAGGAGCCTCTGCCTAAGAGAAATGTTTCTGTAAATCTTTAAGGAGTTTGGGGATTTTTTTCTTCCCTGCATTGCTCTAACGTGCCTACGACATGTGCTGTTGGGGATGACATCAGTGCAGTTTAGTCCCTGGTGCCTCCGCTCAGCACGGGGTTGGGTAACAGCATCATCCATAGGGGAATGCGAATCCAAAAGTCCTTGATGCAGCTCCTGTTTATTTTCTTGTGCACGAAACGCAGCGTGCCCCTTCCAAGGGAGAGCTTCCTCGTGGGGAGGAGGAGGACGGTGCTCCTGGGCGGTCCCTGGGATCTGAATGCCCAAAAAAAGCAGCGAGGATGGAGCAAGTTGGGGCTGACCTTGGTTACTGGCACCACTGGAGCCTGGAGGGAGCCTGTGCRTGGCCAGGGTGAGCCCACTGCTCCCCCAGAACAGGCACGTTTTGSGGGAAAATAAACTGTTGTAGTGCGTAGGAAGGGAATGAGGATGAAATTATTGATCAAAGCAGGATAAGAGCTGACTTTATTCTTGGGTATGACCCAGATAGCAGCAAATGTGAAAGCAAATCTTTACACATCTCAGCTGCTTCCCAATGACCTTTTTTTATTCCTCCTTCTGCAAAATCTGAGCTGCACCTCTTGTCCCATAAGTCACTATCCCTTTTGAATTTTCAGTTTTTTCAAGCAAAATGAATTTCCTTCACCGGGAGAGGCTTTTGTTGGTAAAAATACCTGCTTTTGTTACAGGCATTTCTTCTACCCTGCCTCACCATCCAAAAAGGAGAAGTTGAAGCGGCTCCAGTGCGCCTTGCTAATAGAAGGGATTGGAAGGAGACCACATGGCCCCAACACTGTTGTTCACAGCCCAGATGTAACRTCGTGAAGACACCAACCTGCAGCCAAGGCTTCGCAGGCAGCTTGCAAGTTGGGAGACGCTTGCTAAAAGCACTCCTGGAACAAAGTAGTGAGAAATATTGCTGGAAGGGAGGATTACCTGGCTGTGATAGAGAGCTTTTATTCTGCAAATGATCTTGGATTTCTCCTGACCTGTGACTTGTGCCCTGCCAGGTCATGAAGCCTCAGTGAGGTTGAACCTAGGACTTTGCAGGGCTGCAGCGGGTGGGCGAACGTGAGCTCCTTGCTCCCCTAAATGAGATTTATGTAATATCCCCTGCTCGACCACCTTGGAGATTAAATTAGAGTTTGTTGCAGGGCTGTGCGGGGTGGCTGGGACAGAGCGGGCAGATCAGGGCCAGGAGATGTTCCTGTGTGCAAATGCTCCAATTGACCCGTCGTGGCGATGTTGGCAGAATGCTGCTGTGCATCTCGACTCTGTCATTCAGAAACAGGCTCCTTGCTCTGCATCCTGATGGCTGTTTAGCTGCTTCCACCAGGCTGGTCTTTCTCCCTGCAGATATGTTTAACCTATGGCTTTGAGCTCGCTTGCTCTTTTATTTACTTGTCTGCCTCCCTAGTTCTATAAATGAGAACGTTTTCACATGTGGTGCTAATGCAAGGGCAAAGGTGAGCTTGGGCTTGGACTTCAACGTTTATTTGCTTTGGTTTCCAGCAGGTTTGTGCTCACGCTAAGTTGCTTGTACAGGATGAGCTTCTGAGCTCCTGTTCATGATAGGAAGACTTATTTCCCCAAAAAGAAGGTATATTTAAGTTGCAAACCCCTTTCTGTGACTGTCCCTCACTCCTAGCTGAAGCACTGTGACATGATGAAAAGCTCCAGTGTGCCACCAACCCATATCCTGGACATCACAGGGTTGTCTCTTGAGCAAAACCATGCAGCTTTTTGCCTTGTCCATGTCTAAGTTACTCAAAAAGGATTTACACTCCTTCTCTTTTAGGATTCCCTTAAATTCCTGTTCTTTTGGATATCACAAGCTGCAAGGTGAAGAGACAGCTGTGCAGATTGTGGTACGAGCTGGCACCTACCATATGGATTTGGGCATGTGGTGGATTTGCTCTGCGGAAGCCGTTGGCACCAGCTCCTTGATCCAGGTCTCTGGAAGCAAACCAGCTCCCTGCACCCCAGTGGCACACACCTCTGCATGGGTGCATCTTCACCCTGGTTTTACTTAATGGTTGTTCCTGGGAACAGCTTGTGACACGGTTGGAAATGTTGTTTTACAGTAGACATAGGGAGAGCTTCCAGACCTGGTTCCATTGTCCATAAATGTCTTTTCATGGTCTGAAGACTGTTGTTCCTATGTAGCCATTCCTGATTTTTCCAGGAGCTTTATCTGGGCATAACCTTTTAGTTCTGGGTTTTGGGGCTACATCTCCAGCAGGATTTCTAGATGGAATTTCAGGAGAACCCTTTATACAATTGCTATATGTTTGATCTGACCAGTTGGAGTAGTACCCAAGCACCTACTCACTTAACTCGAGTACTGTGTAATGATGTTTTGATAGACTGAAGTACTGGCCTCACAACAATGAAATACTTTTTAAATACTGCACAAGCCGAAATTTTGCTTTGGCTTTGTTTGCTGTCAGAGGTGATGAAAGGATTCTCTTAGGCAGCTGCTCTTTGTGTCCTGTAAAATCAATTCTTCCGTGCAAAGGAAGAGAAAGCTGCTCTCCTGACTCGCAGCTCCTCTCCGTGGGTTTGCTGCAGGCTAATGCTGCACGAGCACAGTTGCCTTTTGCTCGCTGCCTTGGAGCTGGGCACCGTTTGGATGCCACCAGCTTAGGCTGCCTTCTTGCAATGTGTCCTGGTGTCCAAGCAGAGCAAAGCTGGTTCTGTAACCAAGAAAGTCTGGATGCACAGAGCAGCATGCGATGTACTAGCCATGGGCACTGCTAGGCATGGGCTATGAGCTGCAGGTGTCTGGGCTTGGATTAAAGACCACAGAGCCGTGGCTGTCGCCTTGCTGTGCAGGTTGGCCCTGTGATAAAATCAGTGGAGTGTTAAACAAGCCAGGAACGATTTACAATAAATTGGGCAAAGTACATTCTAGGAGTTTCATAGCACAGGAAATTGCTGCTGGAGGAGGCTGTGCCGGGCGGTAGCTCGTGTTTCCCGTTGCATTTGCAGCAAGTTCTCGCTCTTCTCAGCTACCTTGCACGTGGCTGTGAGCAGCTGGGCACCGGTGGCTCATCCCCAACTCGCATGTCCCTATGGCCACCTGCACCCTTGGGCACAGGACCCAGCGGTGACAATTGACCAACTTGCCCCTCAAGAGCCAACCTGAGGTTTGGCTTGGCCGTAATGCGACTAGGAGTCATTTATCTCCTCTTTGGCTCAACTCTCTTGACTTGCGGTCACTGGGGGATGGAGCTCACCCTCCCTTCACCGTTCAGCAGTTGTGGGAGGGCTGGAGGGGAAAYGTTAGATGCTTTAATATGTATAATGTGTGTCTGCTCGCTTCCCACTGCGGGCACGTGACAGACAGCGAAAGCCTGTGGGTCCCAAATGAAGTTATTCCTCATGCAAAGCCTCCTCTAATATATTCAGTGCATATATATTGTGTATATACCCTCTAATATGTGCTCTAATCTATTCAGCTCTTCAACATCCTCCTCCTCTRTAATCAGTTTAAGCTATTAGCAGCTGTTTAAAAGGGTTTAGTCCCATCAGGTTTGTTTCTTGGCGCAGCAAAGGTCGTTTTGTCCAGTGAATTAAGTAATCTGCACCGTCAGCAGTTTGTGGCAGTGATTTCAAACACCCCATCGCACTGTAAATGCATTAACCAACGATGCAGTCAATTACAATAATTTTCCTCTGAAGGGCCCTGACCTAGAGAGAAACCCTCTAAATGAACAMATTTATTTTACCCCGCTTTGGTGCCTCTTTGGTTAAATTGTGTTTTACTTGTGTGCCATTTTCTGTTGCCTCCAGAGGTGCAGAGGCATAAATTTTCAGCAAGAAATCAGATTCTTGCAGCTTCTGATATCTTAAACTGCACTAAAACTGGTGCTGGTAGTGACAACAAATGGTAAAGTCATTATTTAGGTTGTGTCTTGCCTGTCTTATAAGCAAGTGGACAGGGTGCAAAAAAAGTGCAGCTCCTCACCTTCTCCTTCCATCAGCCTAAGGAGCAATCAGTGAAATAAAAAGATATGAAATTCTAGTTGTTTGAAAGGAAAAAGGCTCTTTTACCAGCTGRGGAATTCGGTCACGTGGGTTTCTTGTGGCTGCCACGCTGCCAGTGCCAACCTGTAGCTCTTCCTATGCCCTTCTGCGGCTGTTGGCCAAGTACTCGCTTCACATGGAAATTATTTTTAAYCAGTATTTGTTATGGAAATATTTTATTTACAGCAAGGGCCGAAAACATAGAACATGAGAAGAAGGATCTGAGAAACGTATTTTTTTCCCCTCAAGGATTTGCAGAAAATTTTGCAGAGTTATTTTGACCAATATATTTAGCAAGTCTAAACATGATAGGAGAAGTAAATAAATCAGAAGCGAACAACAGAAGAAAGAAGGCACAAGGCAGTTCCTGAGCTTGTCCAAAAATGTGTAAGCTTGAAATACACTCACTCAGTGAAACGCTTGGAAATGTTGCGTGCTCAACCATGAGAATGAGAAGATGGTGCCAGGCAGGTGAAGGATTGTGGAGGGGAGAGTGCTGTTCTTCAGGGCTCAGAGTTGCCAGGGCTGCTTGCTTTTGAGGGAGAAAAAAAGCAAAAAAAGGCAAATGACCTCAGAAATATCATATCGGTTGAGGCACTGCTTCCTTTTTTTTCCCCAAGCCCTGCCCTGTGGATTCAGGTGGGACTTGGAGCCTTCCTGCTCTTTGCGTGGGCCTCCAGGGTGGTTCCTGTGGGTTGTGTGAGCAGCGATGCAACCAGGTCAGCACCAGCTTAGTGGGCTTGAGTGCAGGTCTCTCCACTGCAGCTCAGGAGGTGCTGGTGCCACAGAAGTGATGGGACAGGAGACCTGAGATGTTGGAGGCTGGGACCTCCGCCTGGAACGTGGCTGGTCACGCAAGACTTGGACCTATGGGGTTTTTGACTGTTTTAAGAGTGGCAAAAGAATAACTGTGGTTTTATGGTCTGAGTGATGAGTCTAGATGGCCGCAGGTGTCAAAGTCCATGAGAAGTCCTAACCTTGCTCTGCTTCAGATTCAGAGAAGCTTTGCCGTGGGTTTTGATGGAAAAAGGTGCAGATGACCAGTGGGAATGGAGTGTGTCCTGCTGCCGTCCTGGGAAACGTGTGATGGGGCCTTCTGGAGCAACTGCTTCAGGAACACGGATTCACTGGAATGGGAGAAATGGCCCTGGAGGAGGAAAATATTTTCTTGCACTGAGGAAATGACAAATTATTGGTGAATTTGAAAGTCATAAAAGTAAAAATATAATGTTGGCTGGGGACCTATTTATCTATCTATTTTAAAAGGCATTTTAACATCCCGTGTATTTTAATTAAAAATACATTTTAGCACCAGCACGGCCAAATTACCATGGTGCCAATCTCCTTTTTTGGAAATTTCTCCCTAACATTTTGAATTTATTACCAATTCATTGTTTCGATTACAATTTTCCTTTCTCCCGTCAATTTATTATCTGTTTTTCATTTCCCTTCTCTTTTGTTAATCTTTCTAAATAACTTTAAAGTGGTCCTCCATCTATTTAGCTAAATGAATTCACTCCACAGATACTCATTATTGTGAGAATGATTTATGCAAGCACTATTAGCTAGATTGTTCCTTGTTTGAAGGTTTTTCTGCAATCAGAAAAACCCAGATTTGAGTCAGCTAGAATTAGATCCAGTTAAAATTAAAAAAAAATAGAAAAGGGAAGAAAATACATCAAATATCCAGCACCTCTGTCAGATTTCCTATGTGAGAAGGCAACTCAAGGCTTGGAGAAACACAAAGCAGCTTTTTCAGCTATGGGGCTGACCCTCCTGATGTCATCTCAGCCTGGGCAGTGCCAGTGTAAAACCCCAAATATTAAAGAACTGGTTTCTTCATAAAAAAAGCTGCAGAAAACTGGGGCTTTCCTTGCAAAATTTTGTCTTGCTCCAAAAATGAGTAACTTTCCATTAAATAAAGCAACATGGGGAAGATGAGGCAAAAGGGGAGGTTAGAGGTCCTCGTTCTGGGTCYTGGATGTGATGTTGGGGCCCTGGTTCCTATGGGATGGAATCTGCCTGCCCAAGGGGGACAATTTATTAGGGCCAGCGAGGAGCATTGCACATCCCTTCATACAGCTGCTGCATGCGGGCTAGGTAG